GCCTGGGGATTGGGGGGGGGGGGGGGGGCGGGTGTTCGCGCGCGCGCGCGCGCGTGCGAACAACGTTGCTCAACGACGATATTCGCCGGCAGAACTAAAGTTTTGCAAGGAATATCGATGCACGCCTTAAATACGCGTTACTCTCTTCAGTTTCTTTCCTTTTTTTTGTTTTTTTATATATATATATATATATTCGAACGATCGCGGATCGTCGCGCGCGTTTGCTTTCGGAAATAATAATTTAACTCTTCGATGTTTTTGTTTTGTCGCGCGATCACGTGTTAATAAGTGTAATAATGTTTATGAAAAGTCCCTGCGTGGAACCACGAAAAGGAAAATCGTACGCGCCAGGTCTTCGGTGTAAAATACGAAAAGCACCGCTCTATTCGACAGACTGCCAGAAGCGCGGGTAGAAGGTTTCACGAATATCGGATTAAAAACGAAACGATGGACTGCCCATCATCATGATAAGTTATTATAAAAAGATCTCACGGAGCCTGAATACGGCGGAAAACGCGGAGAGTTTTGCCCCCCTTCCTTTTCTCTTCTTTTCTTTGCGTGGTCATCGCATGATGTGTTGCTTCACTCCATCAACAGAGTTATGAATATTAACTATTTATAATTAAAAACCCTAAACGTATCAGGCTATGCGAGATCCTTGCAAATATTCAGGTAGAAAATATTGTAACTTCTCACTGGTGTGCCGGCGATCGGTATCACCGACCATTAACACTCGACAATCATTAATATCATTCATTACCCCACACTCTCTCCGCCTCTCTCTCTCTCTCTCTCGCTCTCTCTCGCTGGCTTTCTTTCACATACTCATCCATTCGTACACACACATAGTCCTCGCATTCTGTTCTCTCTCCTCGCGTCTATCCCCTCTCGTTGCACGATGCGTATGAAAAAAGTGCGATGCCACCAGTAATTGAAAACGAAAATGAAACTAATACGCAATCTCTCTCTCTCTCTCTCTCTCTCTCTCTCTCTCTCTCTCTCTCTCAGTTGCAGATAGACGTGCTGCGTGAACACTGTGCAGTATAATTAACATGCGATCCGAAACCGAAATTCCGAAACCACGAAGAAGACATGCATCGCGTTGAGATCTACGTTAAAGAAATTTAACAGACATTTAAAAGTGCACGCAAGTTCTTTCTCGTTATCTGTGCGGCGAAAAAATTCACCGCACAGGTGAATCATAGTATTTGTATCTTGTCGATTTAACCGTTGAAGCGACGGAATTCTCTTCAACCCTTAAATCGACCACACGCGAACCGTGTGAAAGAAAATTGTCCCCGCATCCGTTTCGCATGCGACCGCTGAAAAGTAATCTTTGCATCGACATTATTCTGCACAACGTTCACAGAACTATAAAATGTACGTAGTACTTATTACATATACATACATATATAATAAGTGAATTTATAAACTAACATTCTTCTCGTGTAATGCTTCAATAATAATATTAATTATAATTAAAACTAACTAATCGATATCTTGTGATAACCGTTAATGAGGTGTCTGCAGCATCTCTGTTTTCTTTTGTTTCTTTCTCTCTCTCTCTCGCTCTCTCTCTCTCTCTCTTTCTCTCTCGCTCTCTCTTTCTTCCATAGGGGTCGTCACGTCCTTACTTGTATATATATATATATATATATATATATATATATATATATATATATATATGTATATATATATATGTATGTATATATATATATATATATATATAGATATTTGTATTATTTACAGTTGCAGAAGGGTGTGATCATTATTGTGTAGGCACTATGGCTTTGGACGTACACTAAGTTGTACGTTAGGGTACATCCTTTAAGAGACTTCCAGTCGAAACAATTGCCACCCACTGCAGCCTTGACTCCTTCCAGGAACACTGAACGATATTTTTAACATGCTTTTCTGCCAGTCGAGATAGCGAACTCATTTTTCTTCCGGACTGTTTTCCACGCAGCTGGAATCAGGCCGCACTGATGTGGAATTTCTTCGTTAAGAAAGACGCTTTTAAGTCAGGTCCAGAATAGTACTGTATCCTGAATATGAATCTTAGACGTTGATCGTTACAATTAGAATTAAATATGCGTCTACATGCGACGATACAGCCTAAGATCGTTTTCCTTTCTTCCTTTCTTTTTGTTCTTCGTCTTGAACGCCCGAGATCGTTCCCGACATCGTTCGCGACGAACATCGAGAAAGTGAACCAACACGATGTGCAGCAAAACTAACACAGTTAGGATCGGTGTTGGATGACAACTTTGCCACAAATAGATTAACTTCGTCATCCGCATCGAGGGATGCATTTGTCCATTATTACCGCCGTGCATATTGTCGAGCCGCACGAAATCCCTCTCTCTCTCTCTCTCTCTCTCTCTCTCTCTCTCTACCAGACAACTCGACAGATTACAAAAGTATATAGAATAAAAACTATGCCTTCCTGCCGTTTACTTTTTTGCATTTTCCTCCGCTATCCACCTTCTCCCCCTCTTCTCCTTCTCCCGCCCGCTCTCGTTCGCCTTCCTTTATTACAAATAAAGAATTGATAAGCCTACTTATGCATCGATCGCGTTTAATAAATTTATAATGCATATTTGTTCTTCCGGACGACGGTCCTCCCGTCTTAAGCACGATTTAGAAAAAAGAATTCAGTCCCGGTGATAAGAGCGGGGGCCCCGCCGTCCGGAAACGAACGTTTCCCCGTCTTATGCGCGTCCTTTCTCTTCTCTCTCGTAATTATCACGTCGATAGAAACATTACACTAGGAGGGACATTTTTGATGAATGATTTTCCGCGTGCACTACTAGTTCTACTAATTTCTTCTTTCCTCGTTTTCTTCATTAGCTTTTTTGTGTTTACAATTCGATATTAAACGACAAAAGAAAACCGTCCGCAGTTTTCTTCTCGACACGAGTCCAGTCTCTCTTCTCATTGAAATTTCAAATACGTGTTCTCTCTCTCTCTCTCTCACTCTCTCTCTCTCTCTCTCTCGTTCTTTCTTCCTTTCGTTTCTTTTCTTTTTACCTCTTACCACATTTACAATATCCTTACACATTGCACAGAAAAAATGGCTTTGCTTCGCCAGATCGTTTCACAAAACTTATTCGAGAAACTCAATATCGGCCGCGACCATATCAAGCCGGAAGTACTCGAGAGTACCGCGTCCACAGTTCTGTGTGATATGTTTTCCATCCTCTGCTTCTCGCGGTACCGTCCTTTCCATCCGCAGAGGTCGAATTTTCGACAAACGGAAAAGAAAAAAAAAGAAAAAAAAAAAATAAAATAAAATACAAACGGAAAGCGACTGACACGATACTAGTCGCGGGCGCGAAGATCGCCCTTTTTTAACATATCGTCCGCTCAAACGAATCCGCGATTTTAAAAAACGCCTCGACGCGAGACATCCTCGACAAAATACTATTCGGTATTACATCGTTACGCGCGAATCGTTACAAATCATAAAGTCCTATCTATACTCCCGTATTATTTACACTTCCGCGTGCCCACAGAAACAGAACTCAACAGGCAGAATAATCATTTCACTAAGCCGGCTGCTCTCGTTTCAGCGATTTCTCATTTGTTGCTAATTATTTGATTGTGTTGTTTGTTCTGTTCGTACGGTATCGATGCGAACCCCCTTTGGCATCCTAATGAACGTCGGTTTTCTCGGAGACCCACGTTCACGCAATGTCCGAGACACGATCTCTCCTCGTTATTAAAAAGAAAAAACGAAATGAACAACGGAGCAACTGAAAATCGCCAATTACGTGATTCGTGAATGCGCCAATCACACGAATTAATAAAATTCTTTCTAGCCGCTTGAAATACTAGAGAGGCTAACTCAAGAGGTGGTAGCCTGAACAGGCGAATGTACTGTCCACGGTGACGATGCTTGAGGATGTGTGACTATCTCTAAAATTTGAAATCGAACAGATCCGAAAGCCCTTCCTCCGTGCCTAACGAGAACGAATAATCGTTTTCTGAAAGAGGTGGTTCCAGGGACAGCAGGTGTTCTCCGAAATCAAGAAGTGTTAGATCTGTAACAAAAGAGAGAAAGAAAATGCCGGGCTTGTCCAGTATTTAACGTCTACTCTTGGCTCTCAGACTCCGCCTACGTCGCGTTACTCGATGTTATTCAAGAATGCAAGAAATACCATGAATATATTTTCAACGTTTGGTGTAGCGTAATCTTCGAATACGTGAAAAGAGAGTATTATTTATTGGATAATCTTTTGAGTGGACTGTACGATATATATATATATATATACGTTAAAGTATAAATAATCTCGAATCTCGTTTAAATAGTACGAGTACGTAGATATCTGAAAATTGATTAGATTGCTAAGTCATTTTGTTAGAAGCATTTTTATGATATTGAAGTGAAACTTCGATGCTACATAGAACCAAAATATATATGTAATATGCTTGAAGCCGTGTTATACACAGGTAAAGAGTATGTAATTTCCGTAAGGTATAAAAAATGTGATATATGGTATTAGTGAAAGGACAAGACCAGAAATAAAAAAAGCCCATAATCGTTGTGTCCTTAAAACGTACCTTCGCGTAATACGAGTTTGCTGTTTGAAACCGTCACCTAATTAGAACTCTGCCTGTGATGTGATTTTAATTGTTACGACACACAAGTCACAGCCAGAGCTCCATCAGGGTACGGCTATCCTCCATTGTTGAAAAGGCAGAGGACATTCAGAGAAAGGTAGTTCGAGTCAATGATATCGAGAAATCGTGATGGAAAATTGACGCTCACTACCTTTCCTTGGAAATGATTATTTCTCACGAAAAATTGTGGTTTATCTTGTTGTGGCATGCAGAACATCTCTTTCAAGCTTGTGAAAATATAGATTTATTTGCTGAAGCATGTTTCGCTTCACGCGCGCGAGAGAAAGAAACATTCCAAGTTTCTTTTCTTTGAAAATATCTTGGAAGTATGGAAACATGTTAAGAGTGCAGAAGATCATTTATTAAAAAATAGAAACAAACAGAGAAAGAAAGGAAGAAATTTAAAGATACAAACAGATTAACAGAAAGCGTAGCGGAAATTGCAGTTGTAGGTGAAGCATAGAAAAAATGGTGAATAAGGAAAAATATATATAATATTTCAAGGCATAGCGATCAGTTAAAACCATAAATTAGTAACAACGAAAATATTAAAAAGAATACTTTAAAAAAAAACAAGAAGGTGAAAATAAGCTCGCAAGTTTTCATAATCAAAGTGAGATTTATTTTATTTTTACGATTACGTGATGAACTTGTGTCCACCTTATTGCGAATGAATAACATTATGACCAGCATTAACAACAAAGCATAGCAATATGTACAAAAGCGTACGTGCAAAGAATATTAGCATACACAACAGCTTATTAAACTATTGCAAAATTAAAAAAAAAGAAGATAAATCAAAAATATTAGCATTGATATAATAAAAAGAAAAAGAAATGAAAACTTTCAATTTTAATTAAAAGAATTAGTATAACAAAAAGAAAAGAAATAAATCTGAATTTATCCTAATTTAAGAGATATGCGCAATCCTACCTGAAGTGCTAATTTGATCCTCTGTTTGTAGTTGGAATTTGCCTCCTCCCATTGGTCCATAATCATCAGATTCACATAACAGCGCGTCCCTCGCTGATGCAGTCGGAGTGCATAAACGAGTATTCAACGAATTGTCGACAGAAGGTACTGGTTCTACCCGGACACTATTTCCTCCACTGGCCAACAGTTCAGGAGGCAAATAAGGTATATCAGATTCTTTTGACGAAGGCACAGATTGCGACGTCGTGTATCCCGGATTGGGTGACGATTTTGCTGTAGGGTCATCAGGACAGAGGAATACCTCTATTTCGCCATGAGATGACCTCATGTGCATTTGAAGCTACAAGAACATGTGCAATGGTATACATCCGTAATAGTATGATTGATGGAATGATTACTTTGATGCAATAAACTAAACAATTACCTTTTGTTGACCAAGATTATTGATAGGCTGTGGAACATGTAGAGTAGCTTCTGGCGGCGCCTTCACCGCCATGATAGCCTGGTCTTTGTACATTGGAACGGAACGTAAATCATGGTACGTTACATAAGCATACTGCCTATCCGCACACAGTTCCCTAAGGTTTTTATCTGCGCCGTGAATTAGGCGATCCAAAGTGTTTTCCTTAGCTTCTAAATCCGCCACTTCTCGTCTGAGATCAGCGATATCGTTCCTGTCGTTTGGTAACTGACCCCCTCTGTAACATGTACCGATTATGTTTAATGTTTTTAATTGTACGAACTTGTTGTTTAGAAAATTCCTTCAACATAAAAGAGGTACAACGTACTTCCATTGTATATTGTTTTTACTTTTTTTCTCCAAGATTCCTATGCCTTCTAATACGTTTGTGATATCGTATATACGACGTTTCTGTACTTCCAATTTTTCAGATGCTACATTCAAATCTACAACACCGTCCTGACTACTTTCTACTAAGTGTATGAATTTTTTTGTAAGTAAGCTCAGTGATGTATCATATCGTGTCCTTTCCACTGTTTTACCTGTAAAAATAACCGGTATTATTTCTTTTCACTGAAAGAAACAAAAAAAAAACAATGTATGTATTACGGTACACAAGAAATAGGGACTTACTTTTGGTAGGTGTGTGGCCAGTTATAGAACTCGATCCAGATCTCCTACGTTTACCTCTAGGAGCCTTAAAGGCGGATTGGCTGGGACCTGTTGTTCCCATTTCCAAATTCAGTCTTCGTTTCACTGCCTGAACTGAAATCTGCTATGAAATCGAAGATGATTAGAAATGATCTTGTCGGGTATATTAATTCTTAAGAAAATTCAATAATGTTTCAAATGTATAACATACTTAGAGAAATTTGTCAGATATTACTTATGTTGTCAACAGTAAAATCATTTTACGTCAAAATATTTTCTTATTCAGAATGCAAGGTTAATTACTTCAGTTCGAGGTGGTGGCTGTGTAGGTTTCCTTGTCACTTGATAACAAGGTGTTTGTCCATATTGGTGGTCTTGAAGATGAGGGCTTGGTGTCTCTTCAGCCACCTTTTGTGCTTGTACTTCGTCCAACGTGCCATCGTCCAAAAATTCTGTTTTTACTAAAGATAATGGTTACGTACATAAATGTTTTGGCACATTTGAAGATGAATACGAAGTAGTTTGTAGTCGTTCATACATACTTAATTTGGTCTCTACCATATCTGGTGTAACAGGTCTGGCAGGATCTTCCAAGACCACTTGTCTCCTTACTCGAGGCATTTTTGTAGTTTACAAGAATCTATAACAATAATGAAAATATACATAGAGTAAGATTATGAGGAAGTAATCTCGAGGAAGCAATTCTCAACAAATTTAGCGAAGAGCTTCCTCCGTGCTTATGTAACAAATAATTGAATTATTCTTCTTATTTATAGTAAAATCACTAGCTGTTTTTCCACACGATTGAATAACAAAGATGGTGTCTTAAGAAAACAAAACAGTTCTAACACATATAATAAAGATGTGGATACGAATGAGCATAACTTGTTGATATAAAAAGTTACTGTAAATAAGAAGATATTATTCGTAGAATAATATAAATATAAACAATTTTTGTGAAATATTTTGTAACAGTTCATCTAAAATATTGTTCATCAAAATGAATAATTTACTGTAATTATCTATTTTCGATGCGTTATTAGTTTGCACTAACGCGTTCAAACCGCAGTAAAATTAATCCTGCTTTAACTAATGAAGAAATTACAATAGTTTCTTTCCATTTTCGTCCGGAAATATCGGCTATGAAAAATCCTCAGAGAACGTGCACATTTTAGTATCGCCCGTGAAGGTTAATGAGTGTACACCATTCTGGTTACGTATTATTTATTTCATTTCATAATACCGGCAAAAAGTGTTTATCCTCTATTCGACGAGCGCTATGTGTTATTTGTTTAATGAAATTTCAACCGCATAAATCACGAGATCGGAACGAGTAACATTTAACGATAGATTGATACCTTAAAAATAATCTTGTCGACAATACGATTTATCAAAAATATCATTCACACGTGAGAAATATCGGCGAATAGACATGCAAATCCGAATAAAATTTCTGTCGATTCTCGTCCTTCCATTCTCGGCTTTTTCCGAACACTGGCCGTTTACGAGTGAATTTTTTCGATCGGGATGGCACATTTAAGGAGAGGCAACTTTTTCGATGCATATCAAAAGAACAGACAGCACTGGGAAGAACCTTTCTGTTCGCGAATCAAACAACATTGGTAGAACCTAATAATAGAACTTGAATTCCAAAGAACTTCGCATGTCTCTCCAGGAAGAAAGTGACAAAGTTTAACGGCGAAACGAAATATGCAAAAACATGTTGCGACGATTTTTAACAACATAACATCATGCTACCGTTTTACGTATGCATATAACAAAGCCCGAACAATACAAAACTGATGTTTCTTACGTATCGCACGTTGCAATTATTTAATCTAAAAATCACATTTAAATTTGTCGTCTCGTATTTAGCAGTTCGAAGAGAGAGAAAGAGAGAGAAAGAGAGGGGAACAGGTGTTGCGTATAATATTCTGACAATAAAAGGGGGGTTACTACAAAAACAGTTGAAACTTCGTGGTATACAAAAATAATGGGTTTACGGAATAACGAAACGGAAGTTGTTGTACAGGCGGCAAAGTGTCGATGCCGCAAGAAACCGAACATCTGGTGAAAATTGCGGTATACAATTTTTACACAGCCCTCGAATATGGACGTACTAACTGTTCCTCGGTAAAAAAAAAAATATTAAATAAAAAGCAACATCGCTGTGTATTATATAATTTCAACAAAAGAATGATCTGTTTCTAAAAAAGAAGAAAAACAAATTCATGAAAGTTGCATTTGATAAATTCTTCGGCTCCTTAAGCATAGCGAGTACAACTCAATAAATTAACGAACAGTGAACAATCCACGATATAAACAACAAAAGGTCGATTCCGTCGAAAAAGCGTTTATAGAAATAAAGCCGTAATTTTGCATTTATAATTTGAAAGTAAGTCACTGCCAAGTGTGAAGAACACTCGAAAATCAATTATAAATATATATATATCATAATATACAGCGAGAAGATGATAGTTTTCGAAAAAAAAGCGAAACGAAAGCGAAGAAGAGTCCGCGGAAAAGCCGAGGAGCAGCAGATCCTAAGGCCCCTGTTTTCAAAAGGCCTGGTTACGCGCCTGGGCAGAGAGAGACCCACGGTGCGGCCGTATACGAGAATTTTTGAAAAAAAGAGCAAGCGTCTCGGGAGCACGAGGCAGCGTTCCGGGTGTGGTTTAAAGAGGCACGCTGCTGCCTGCAGCAGGATCGTCGTGTTACAGCGGCAGCCTTGCCGTTGTAAGCGGTTTTAGAAGCGAACTGTGCGTGGTTCTCTCGTTTTCGCATGTTTGGTCGGGTACACACGGTCAGCGCCGTTCGACGGGTTCGCGGGGGCCAATAGCACGGTAAAGCGCATTCGAAGGTTGGGAGCAATGCACGATGCGGAGGCATTGATTGGTAGGATGTTATCTCGAAGATAAAACCCGGCTAGTGTAACTCTGCCGCGGAGCGGGCACAGCCGTTGGACGGAAGGAAAACTAGCGTGGCATCGATTGCTAAAGCCGTGCGCTCTTTAAAAACAGAAAATAACGCGTGCGAGCACGGTCGCCGGCTTACGGTTACGATATAACCTTCATATAGGACCATTATACATCCCTTCGATGCTTGCATTTTTTACTCGTTAATCGGTTATTCAAATCTGAAAAGTGTGTGCTTTCCCTCGACAAGAGAGAGAAAGAGCGAGAGAGAGAGAGAGAGAGAGAGAGGAAATGCAGCGTACGAAAATGTCTCGGTAAAATTTCGTACGAGCAAACGGAGCATGCCTGTTGTGCGCGAGGCTTCAGGCCCCAGATGTTAGCGACGAACCTTATATACTGTCCCCCTTTTTTCCGGCTCGGCCCCGTATAGCTCGTAGAAACCGCGCACAGAGATCGGCGCGCGCGAGGTCTATCGACGAGGAGACCCAGATCGGCCCCTTTCTCTTATCATAGCGAAGTGGAAAACGCGTGTAATATCAGAAGAGGCACCCCGACTCTTCTTCTTCTCTCACACGTACATACAACAACAGCGAGGGACCGCGATCAGCTGTTAACGTCGATCGCAGGCTCGTCGGTTGTCGTTTTTTTATCCGTGTTTCTTCTTGAATGTCGCGTAAACGAACGTTCCCGGACGCGAATAAATAACAAACGAGAGAGGTGATTGTATCGAGCGCGACTATGCGTACTCGCGAAATCCGCACGGTACGCACCGAAGCGGCCATGCATACGAGAGCGGGCGAACGAGCGAGCGAGCGAGCGAGCGAACAGATAAACGAGGGAGCGCGATTATGCGAGCGAGCGAGCGAGCGAGCACGCACGCACATATACACGAGGAGCGATCTCCGCCAACAGCAGCACTCACACGGCGAAACACGTAGAATCCGCACGCGATGCGCAGAGCCGTTTAAAGAGCCAAGCCGAGACTAGAGTGTCCCTAGTTAGGCGTGCTACCGGCACGGTCATGAGGAAACGTATAATCGGTGCACGTTTTCGCGATTGATCGCGGAAAGATGCCGGGGCGGCTCTCTTTCGACGCCACCGGATCGGCAGTCGCGCTCCGAAATAACGGTCTCCCCTTTTTCTTTTCTGTCTAGGCGCGAGCGCGCGCTCCAATAAACATACCTTTTCCACGATCTTGTAAAAACAAAAAAAACACACACACACAGACACGCGCGCGTGTACCAAACCGCGGCGCAACGGTTGGCTGGTGTGTGTAGTACACGGTCGAACAGGGTAATGCCGCTCTTAACATTTCGAAAACGTATCTATGTATGTATGTATGTATGTATATATATATATGTATTTACGAGGCGAGAAATCATTTGATTTGAAAGGAACAACTTATTTAACTGCGATTTTCGTGCGTGCGCGCGTATCGTTCACTTACTTGGCTCTCGAGCGTGCGATACAAAACCGCACACGTATTTTGAGACGGAGGCTCAACGCTCTCTTCCGGGAGGTTCGGCCAGCACACGGCGCGGCGCGTGTCACAGCACCAGCGAGCGAGGCATATCCTTTTGCCTGCTCGACAGCGAATACGTTGCCGTTGCGGCCGTGACCGTTGTCGATGCTTCTAGACGAGATTTTCACTGAGGTCTGTCGACGATGACAGGACAGGTAAAAATGTGGTCCGGAACCGACGGTTCAGTTAAACCCGGCCCTACCGAGGCCCGACGTACACCGAAGTTTCTCTTGCTTTTTGCTCCTGGATATCATGCACACTATATATACGATTTACTCCCTCACCCTGTCACGTTTTTCTCTCCCTATGTCTCTCCTTCTTGGGAACTATATCCGTGGTCGTCGGCGGTTCCTCTGCTCGTTGTAGTTGCGTGGCCTTTATTTCTCTCTCTCTCTCCCTCTTCCCCTGTGTCGAATCGTTTGTGTGTATGTGTATACGTGTGTGTGTGTGTGGGTTTCTCTCGCTCTCACTTTCTTTCTCTTTCCTATATATCTCTCTGTTTCACTTTGTCTTTCTACCGCACTGGTGCGGTGTCCATTTTCTGCGGGGCCGAGGAGATCTCGGTAATAGGAACGACAGCCAAAGCAGACCGAGGGCCCGAAATAATCGAGTGCAGGGGCCGAGCGGTTCGTCGGATCGATGTGTTTTCAGGCTCCAGGGAACGTGGAGGTTCTAGTGTTCACGATAAGCCCCGCCTTGGCATGATCGGTCGAGTCACCGGCGAGGAAAACGAACCTTTTCTGTCCCGGGGTGTCGCGCGCGCACACGAGGCCGGCTCGTGAGCTGGGCGATTGGATGGACGGGGCTGGCTGGCGCGCTGGCAACTGGCTCGGGCTACAAGGCAGATAGACCCGCCTGTGCCGGTAGTAGTAACACCGAACCGCGTGTCCGTGCGCGGTCTACTCTGCGCTCCGCGAACGGCACACGGTCGTGTCGTCGTGTGGCGGTGGTGGTGGCCTTTTACCACTGTCTCGGTACGTTCTTGAACGGGCCCGTGTCACCGTGGTGGTGTACCGTGCTTAGGCGCCCTGTCATGTGTCGGTGCGTTCGTGGACGCGCGCCTATAACGTACCGGCGCGCCGGCCATCTGCCGGTCGCGGACAAGAGTCGTGTACGCGCGCCAAAACCGTCACTTCGCTTTTCTCTGTAACCACCGCCGCCGCCGCCGCCAGCTCTATCACCGATATACAAAATGTTCCTAGACCGTGCCACCTTTCGACCGTTTCCCACGAATTCGACTTTTAATCATTCTCGATCGCTTTCTCGCAGGGGGGAGGGGGGACTTATCAAGGGGGCACGACACACCGAGACTCAACTTTCATCGCCGATGTTTGTTTACGTACCTTAGGGTTAGACGTTCTTCCGTAGATAGCATTTCTCGTCGGTGTGCTTTTTCGGTTACGCTTCGTCTCGCCGGGCATTTAAAATCGCGCGAACGTGCCGCGAGCGAAACGAACGCGATCCCATGGAACCGTTCCGAAGGCGTTTTTTCAACCGACGTGTAACGGGCACACACGCGCCAAAAACTTAGTTTTCCAACGAAACTGCCACGCAAGCTCCCGTTGCCTCGTGCGAGTAAAAAATCCCTATGCCGCGACTTTCACGCGACACGATCGTATTCGGCGGAACGGTTACTGCGTTCCCGGCGATCCTGCAATTGTGTTTATGTATTATTCTTTGGAGATTATTACCATATCAGTCCGCCATGGTCAGGGGTGTGCGCTCTCGGTGCAACGTCCACGCCTGATGTTGGCAGTGAGTCCCTTTAACATGGGCCTTATCGCGGAAGCAAGGGGGCAGACAGCGAACCGTTTACAAACGCACTCACGAATTACGTAACTTTCGTAACTTTTCGATTCTATTCCCTCGGCCGCGCGCACTTCTCGACATTGGGAGGATCCCGATGCCTGTCGTTTCTTGCCCGAAACTGAGCGGGCGGTCGTCGCTTCCTTCACGATGGAGGGGTGTCGGACGCAGGGCCGTACGCTTCGCACGTGTGAACGTTGGCCTAATTTTTGTTTCCATTTCGCACCGCGCGCGACCGGCTTCCAAAACGAACTCGTAATTTTGTATTCTAGAGTCACACGTTCGCAGATATTTCAACGTTGAAATTTCTACGACACAACGGTCATGATATTATTCATCAGCCTGTAGTCGGTTTACAATTATTTTTATTCACAAAAACGTAAGAATCGCTTTCTTTTATACATACATTAAATATATAAAACTTCCTCGTAAGTATCAAGAGAGTCTAATACGACGAATAAAATTACACAAAGGTACGTTGCGTGCGTTGATACAATATATTTTGTTCGAACGATGTCGCACAAAGTTGTTCTTAACGGTAAATTTCCCCGAGCGTTCGGGTTCCTCGGTGCCTTGGCACGCACCTGAAATAGAAGGGAATCGCTAAGAAGGGAGCCCGGTGTTTTCTTCGTAACGTATTTATTTGAACCCTACGCAACTACAAAAGGATCCGAGCCCTGTGCAGGACGCAAGGGAGGTATACCCTCTCCCTCTTTCTTACGCTTGTATCCATGCGGTCATCCCCCACTTCTATGCTCGAGGTATTAACCGAAGCCAATTTTCTAGGGGCGCGCCAAGGAATCAACCGAACGCAGTTTGGGCCTGAATGGGGCTATATGTCTACGATGACGAAAACCTCGACCTTCTCCGTGTCAGGCGGATCGATTATTTGCATCCCAGAGTACGTGATAGCTTTTACCTCGGCGTTCTGCGAGTGCTTGCCGATGGTGAACTCCTCCCCTAATGCTGTCGCGGTAATCTTAAAATTTTTTCGGTCGAAATTCGTGATCTGGACTTTCTGACAACAACATAAACCACATTACTATGTTTTTTTTTTTTGACAAAATATTCACACTGTTAAAGAGCAACGGAGATATATATATATATATGTATGGCAGCGGGGCGGGAAAACGACTTTCGTCACGAAAGCTGAACCGAATCAACACGTGTTCGAAACACGTGTCTTGAGAGTTTGTAACATCTGAGAGGAGAGTCTAACGCGGCACTTGCTTTTTGTTAGAGTGTGTTCGTAAAACGTGAAGTGTACCTTCGCAACGATAAACTGCTCGGCGCTAAACATATACAACAGTTCGTCGAGAAAATGAAAGAGAAGACTTTCCAGATCGTGTCCTTCCGCCTCGATGTTATGCACCTTGGTGATCTCAACCCGCTCTAAATCCGTCATGTATCCAAACATGGCTATACCGCATTGCTCGTAAGCTTCTTCTAACGTACTGCCCCACGCATGCAACCTGCGACGCATTACTATTGTTATTTAGAATGTTCTTTTCGGCTCTTTTTTAGAATCGCGCCGACACGATATTATAAATGTATAAACGTATTTTCTTTTCCTCGAGAAGGACGGTTCTCGTTGCGCCATCGTGCGTTTTAGGTTATCCATGCGAGTAACCTCCAAAACGTACACCGGCCGTTTCGCTCCGTATTTTCGTGTTCCATACTTACTGTACGTCCGCGGGGTGGTCCAGATCTAAAAATGAAACGTTCGTGTTTGTATAAATTCGTCTTATTTCGTGCGATCGTTCGTAAATGTCGCGTCGAAATTTCGGACGTTTACGGCCACACGTGTAGCAAAATGGAGGCCGTCGTACAGTGGCGCGCCGGTTGCCGATTATTCTATTTTACCGCGATTCCAAGCCTCTTTTATTCGAATCCGACGCGATATTATCTATACGACACACGATAGAATTACTTACACTCGTATTTCGCCGGAGGCACCTCAAAATCTTCGTCTTTGAGCGCGTCCATGATTGTGCTCAGCTGATCTTACGTACGTACGTGAATAACCTGTGAATAACGATCAGCTGATTCTCTGTCAGGTTTAATCAATGGTGTGGTGCGCTTTCACGTGCACCAGATTTTACTACGTAGATGGCGCTACGTAGAAGGATGCCTTTTAACTTGCGTACCGACCGAGCACGGTCGGTATATATAAGAATCTTTTTTATCAGAATATTAATTACAATTATTTCTAGGCTTGTACAAGACTATTTCTTCCTTGAAAGTACGAATTACGTGAATGTCGAAAATGTATAAATAATTCTAAGATAATAGGAGAATATTAATCCTCCTATTAATGATCCTAATGATTATTTAAGGATATTAATTCTCCTATTAATAATCCTAAGGATTATTTAAGGATATTAATCCTCCTATTAACAATAATCCTAAATTAATTAATTAATCCTACTATTAATAATCCTAAGGATTATTTAAGGATATTAATCCTCCTATTAATAATCCTAAGGATTATTTAAGGATATTAATCCTCCTATTAATAATAATCCTAAATTAATTAATTAATCCTACTATTAATAATCCTAAGGATTATTTAAGGATATTAATCCTCCTATTAATAATCCTAAGGATTATTTAAGGATATTAATCCTCCTATTAATAATAATCCTAAATTAATTAATT